ATCTCAAGTAGGTTGTCCGGCTTGGCCCGAACGGTGTTGGTCACGGAAAGGTCAATGCAACTTGGGCAAATAGCACTTGTGCCCACAGTGCAGTGGCCATCCAGGACGCACCTGCCAGACAAGATGCGACCCAATTATCTACGAGTCGTTATACATGATTGCATATTCGATATGGGTATGCGGTCATGCTGCCTCAGTGGAGTTCAAAGTTTAAATTCGAGTAAGCTTTGCGAAGCTACCGGTAGTAGCACAGCAACTGGCACCGATAGGGTGGTACTATGTACTCCGGAGTAGTACAGAGGCGTGGAAGTATCAAGAGGAGGGAAAAGAGGTGGATGCCAGAGGCATGTAGAAAAGGGAAAGGATGAGAAAAGGAGTCGAGGAAGGTAACCTCGGGGCCTAACCAGGGACGCTAGGCCAAGCGTCCCGGCCATAATAAACACAAAGAGGAAGACGTGGGCTCACAAAGAAGGAACAAGAAGTGAGCAGCTAGACCAAGAACAGGCTTATGCATGCCTGTGATTGGTGGAAAACCACTGGTGCCAGAGGCAGGAGGGGCGCAGGACGGGAGACACAGGACCCAGAGGGCTGGTGAGTTGCCACCTCGTGACAGGAAGCTCGCGCATGGTGGACCTCTCAAATATTTAGAAGTTTGTAATCGCAGGTGAATCAGATGGATTCTATTTTAAATAAAATATATGCTTCAACATTTTCTCATTCTCGTCTGATTGGTCATATTTTAGCCAATAGGTCGCTTTTTAGCGAATTCCCGTGATCGAACTCGGGACTAATTGCAATGACCGGTACCATCGTTTTGCAATTGCAATATCCGAGAATACCTCCGCGACTTAATTCGTGGTAAAAGGGGTAAGCTGGCGAAATGCTGGATGACTATTGTACTACGTACTACTCTGGTCTGAATGATATTGCGCTTTCACTTCTCATTGGCGGGATTTTCCTAATGCTGCAAATTCTGCATATCTGATTGGAAGGGTGAATAGCGCGAATTCTCTGCTTTGATTGGCTGTGTTTTGAGCGTTCCAATTCATTTTAGCTCAAACGTTGTGTCTTGTCAAAGTTGATCTTGCAACTAAAATCCACACACATATACCCGCTAAGGCATCACTTTACAATTTGGGCCTGCCCACTAAATGCAACATACCCTCGTCGGACCCTACTATTGCCAACTGCGACACCTCCGAGCTCTCAACCATCCCCCGCTGCCTCACGGGGTCCGAAACCTCCAGCACGATGAGCGTGTTGCCATCTACGAATCGCTACTTGAGATCAGTTCTAACGGTCAGCTGCCACGTGGAGCATTTGTTCACCCGCCCGAGCACATAACTGTCACTGGAGAACGATTACGAATGTGTGGGTCCGAGCACGAGAGTCCCTTCGCCTTGGCAGTCTGACGGCCGACGTCACCTCAAACATTCGCGGTAAAACCTCCATAAGATAATATTTATCAAATATATACAAATTGCTAGTACTGTATAATGTCTGGCGATTTTGAAGTTTAAGGTAATTCTGGTCGAAAAAGGGTCTGCACGCACGACGAAATCAAGAATGCCGTCCAAGTGGTCGACATGTATGCTCGGCAAACAATGCGAGCGCTTGCGGCTCACAGCGGCATACCGAAAACCCCGCGTATCCAACACATGAAAGAAGAAAAACACTACAACCAAGGTGCAGCTACGTTCGACTCCACCTGACGGACGCCAACGCCGTCACAAGAATGAAGCACGCGCTGAGTTTCCTCCAACCAACATAAAATGGGAACAAAGTTTTCGTTAACATAAATTCGTACATTCATGTTGACAAAAAGTGGTTCTATTTGACGAAGGTGAAGAGGAAGTTCTATGCCTACGCCGACGAAGGTGTGCCCAGCAGTTTATCACAAAAGTGATGTTCATGTCTGCTGTTGCCCTCCCCGCAACAACTTCCACAAGAAAGCAATCTTCGACGGCAAGATTGGGATTTGGCCGTTCGTGGTGCAGCTGCCGGCCCAGAGGAACAGCAAGAATAGGGCCAAGGGTACGATGCTCACAGTGCCTCAAAGTGTGACGTCGGACGTCTACCGAGCGATAATTTTGGAGAACGTCGTGCCGGCAATCAAGGCGAAAATGCCATGGCGCGATCAGGCCGGGACAATTGTTTTGCATCAGGACAATGCGAGCCCCCAAAACTGCGTCACGTCGAAAATGCTTTAGGATCGAGGTATTAAAGGAATTGTCATCATTAACCAGCCTCCGAACATACCAAACATGAACATCTTAAACTTTGGATATTTTAACAGTATTCAAAGTCTACAAAGTCAAAAGTGTACTCGAACAGTCGAGGAGCTTATTGACGTTGTAGAAAGCTCATTTTATGAGCTGCCTTGTGATACACTTTCAAAAACCTTTATCACCTTGCAGAAGGTTATGGAGAAGACACTTGAAAGTAAGGGTACGAACGATTACAAGCTTCCGCATTTGAGAAAGGATGCGTCAATTAAGGACTTGTCTCTATTCAATGTCAAGTGTGATCCTCTTATCTACGACCGTGCTGTCGATTACTTGAGCGCACTTTGAATTCTCTAGAAACAGTCAGCCGTGTATTAAAATAAAGTGCGATTATATTTCCATCCAGTGGTATTCATTGTCAAGGTTCAATACAAACTTCTAGATGTTTTGTCGCCCCTCACTATACTTTAATCAAGATAAAACTTCAGCACTATCATTTCAGACAAGATTAGTAGTAAATGCCATTGGTCTTTATCCGTTCAATTTCCCGATATTGAAGTACCACTTTCGAAGTGCGCATATGTCCATGTCGTGATTCAATATAATAGTCAAACCACGCGAATTTTGGAAGTTTATAGCAAGTTCACAATAGTATTAATATTATATTAATAGTACCAATTTCTTAAGTAAAGTTACTATTAATACTAACGCTATTAATAGTATTATACTACGTACTACGTAGAACTACGTAGTAAGTAACTAGTGTCCACGTATAGCATCTGAAAATAGGTCAATATTGACATGTTTGCTATTTTTTGCCAAAATTCAAATTTGTCAGCGACAGCATCATGACCTTGCACTCTTGGAGCTTTTGCCGGATGTTGGGTGCCTGGCCCTTGGTGTTGTCGTAGACGATGGCGGCAGGTCGCAGCTTCTCCTTGGCCCGCTTCGCATGCATGAGATCGACGCTATCCCTCTTCTTCCATCGCGGCATCACGCCCATGTGTTTGGTGAGGTCGACGCTGTCTCGCTTCTCCCGTCTTACCGGCGACTGCATGGACTGGTCCAATTCGTCGAGCGCGTCAGACGAGTCATGGTCATACACGTCGTCTCCGTGTGTTTTGTGAACGAGTCGCAGTGAGGAAGACGAGGGGTGGCTCGTGATGTCGAGCACTTGTTGCGACGGCGTCACGATCGCGCGCGCCGCCTGCGCCATCCATGGCTTCTCCTCGTCCAGGATGTCGTGATATTGGAGTTTCGTCAGTCGATGCTTTGTGGGGAATGCGGTGGGCTCTATCTTCCCTTGTGGGGAAGTTGTCTTTTGGGTCGTCGTTTTCATAGGTACGACCTTAGTGGAACTCGAAAGCGATGCGACGGCAGTGGGTTTCGGCGGCACCACTTGGGGTCGCCGCGGGCTCTTTGCGCTTATGTCTTTGCCAGGAACGGTATGCAACGCCGATATATTCAACATGGCTTGGTAGACGCTATCCAGCCACGCTACTTGTTGCGTATGAGTTACGCTCCGCCTCGGATTCAGCTACACATAATATACACAACCGTGCTAAGTGGATGTACATGTCCAAAGTACTGTAGAGTGTACCGTACATTACTATGGACATTTTATGATTATATCATTTTAAATATCATTTTATAATTTTTCAATCAGCTTCAATTGATTATTAGCATAGAGTTTCAGAATTATTTCAAATTTGAATCATAAAATGTCCATAGTACACTGTACTTACCTTGAGGAACCTGTTCTTAAAGCTGCCAAAGGTCAATACTTCGTCTTTCTACGAGACATCGCTCAGTCGTCATCCATATTCTGTCAAGAGCGTCATGCAAATGCAAAACAACGGAAAATGTGTCGACTTTTGGGAACTTTCCCAGGGATTTTGCACCGATGTGGCTCCGATGCACCTACTTGAAGCAAGGATAGTTCCGTATTGAGCACTCGTTGGGGTTTGTCCTCCACGACCAGAGGCGTTGTCATGTCCTGGTTCACGTCCACCACGCACGCACTCAAGACGTGCACCTGGGTCTTGTTCATGATGGTGTGGAACTCGGACGCGACCGAGAACAGCTCCTTCAAGCGATGCTCCATCTCCACTTCCATGAGCATGCCCAGGTTAAAGTTCGAGCTCGACTGCTTGGCGAACACAGTGCGGCGGGTCTGCCCGGTCGGCATCGCACCATTTACCGCCGTGGCGTGAGATATTCCATATCGATCCTTGAGTAGATCCCGTTTGGACGGCGACGCTTGGGGGATTTTTGTCGTTGTCAACTGTTGGGCCAACGACTGCCTGAGTAGCCACATCTGCTTCTTTTCCTCGTCCCGCAGCGTGGCCGACGAGTACGCCGTCACGCCGGACGCTTCAAACTCGGAAAACACGTTGACGAGGATATCGATCCCTAGGTCGTGGTGTAAGTCCACGTGCGTGGCACCACCGTCCAGGGTCGTCGTCGCCGGGTGTTTCTTCTTGAGACTGGTGGCGTCGATGGTACTACTAGAGGAGGACGCGCTGTGGTTGATGGCGGAGTCCAACAGCAACGCGGCCTTTGACGATGATGCAGCGAGGAGTGAGTCCAAGAACGAGTCGATCTTGGCGAGGGCGTCGCTGTTGCGACGCTGCAGCGCCAACTGCGCCAATTGCACGGGCACCACGACGTTGGTCGGCACTGCGCCGGGGGACTCGCCACCCATAGATATAATATATATATACTGTATGGAGAGCACACTTATTTATAGCCAGCCACCCACCAGGATAAGCGTCGTCCAGCTTTTGACTTTGAACCTCGGAAAGGTACAATAGGCATCGTGAGGGGTTGGTTCCATTTGCCATGTACAGTATGTACTACTTACTGTACATGTAATAATACTGCAGACCATTGATGGAGCCCCCAGGGGGGGGCTACACTTGTTTCTCGCTGAGTAGTTCAGAACTACCGGTACGTAGTAAAGAATACTAGCAGTGGACCGTAGGTCTACCTACACTCACTAGGAGTAATAAGTTAATGCTGTTCATATTATTATAATACTTCGAGGTTATTGACATCATTTTAATACCGGAAAGTTATGCGAGTTTTGGTCACACGAGATCTTAAAAACAACAAAACTACTTAGTACTACTAGTAGTAGTGTAGTACTACTTACACAAGTAAGGATCCAGAGGAAATTTCTGTGTCAATGCAGCTTCCTCATTGGCTACCACAAGCGGCAAGGAGGGTTGTGATTGGGTCTATGAAAATCGAGGGAGCCAATAAAATCACTCCATTTCTGGCTTTGTTCATCGGGCAACTGCAGTCTTGGATCGCACTATGAAGTTCCGTCCGTGCATCGACATCCATGCGGGTGTGGTCAAGCAGATCGTGGGCTCGACACTGTCAGACGACAAGGATGCCGCAGGTCCCGTGACGAACTTTGTGTCGACGCTGCGCTCGGCGGACTATGCAGCGTACGCCACCCTCAATCTCGTCCAAACTCCAGCTGCTCGCTCGTAGGATGTACAAGCGCGACGGGTTGACGGGAGGCCATATCATCATGCTAGGGACGAGCGAAGCCAACGAGCGCGCAGCGCTGGAAGCTCTGGACGCGTTTCCCATGGGCATGCAGATCGGAGGTGCGTCGACCGTTCCAGGGTCGTCCCATCTTACGATCTCGCAGGCGGCATCACGAGTGCGAATTGTCGCCGCTACCTCGACCGCGGGGCCAGCCATGTGATTGTAACCTCGTACGTCTTTCGCGACGGCGCCATCGACATGCAGCGGCTCGCGCAACTCCGCGACGTCGCCGGCAAGGACCGACTGGTATCCCATCCATCATCTTCCCATGTTCCTATCCTCCTCTCATGGCGTGCTTAGGTGCTGGACTTGAGTTGCCGCATGAAAAACGACGGGCTGTACTACATCATGACCGACCGGTGGCAAGTGTTTTCAAACGTCACTCTCTCGTATGTGTCCATATGACATTTCTATCGAAAATATAATATATATATATATATATGTGAAATAATATAAATATGCCAAATAATATATATATGTTAAATAATATATATATGCCAAATGATATAAATATGTGATATAAATATATATGCCAAATATTATATATATATGTTAAATAAAATATATATATTCATATAGCGCGTCACTGCTTGTCGAGTTGGCCGCGTATTGCAACGAATTTCTCGTGCATGCTGTGGATGTGGAAGGCAAACGGTGTGGGATTCAAGTACGTAGTTTTCCATGCAAATATATATATATATATATATATATATATATACTACGTAGTTTATTCAGTACATGCAATAATATTTCCAAAACGATAGCATTATATAAATATTCTTTGAAAACAGGAAGACCTTGTATCGTGCCTGGCGCAGTGGTCTCCAATCCCAGTCACGTACGCCGGGGGCGCTTCGTCTGTTGTACGTTCGTTCTCCATGTGATCCTTCTTGATGCGTTAATATATATATATATAATTTAATTTAACGTAATATTTGTATAATATTTATGGACAGGATGACGTGAATCTCGTCGGCCGCCTTGGAAAAGGCCACGTGGACGTGTCCATTGGCAGTGCGCTCGATATTTTTGGCGGCAGTTTGTCGTACGACGCGCTGGTCGCGTATACAAAACAGACGTTAACGCAACACTAACATTTGCACTGCTTGCTAGCTAGTACTACTAACAGAAAACAAAATGCAGATATGTTCAATGCGGTATACTATTAAACTACTAACAGTAACCCCTGTTCAATGTATGAGCGTTGATATTAATAATTTATCCATCTAATAACGTAGTTGCCACTGGTAATACCACCTATACCTGGTAAGTATATTTCTTTGTGGGCGGCACTCTCTACTAAAGCTATTACTACTATTAATAGTACGTAGTTCGTATTAGTACTGGAGGCTGCGGGAATTGGTCATTTCGACAGTTTTTTTAGTGAAACTGGTTGATCAGCACACGCCACATACAACTTCAATTGGTGTAATATATTGTTAGATCGCGTAAGCCTTCAGAGGACCAGTTGCGCTTCACAATTGTCGGATCAGCGCGCTACCATTCCGGGAATGGAAGGCCGCGAGAAATTCGAATCTATCCGGATAATAGTTCCGGAAACGGGTGAGTTTGGTGCCTTCATTCAAATGCACGTATTTTTATTCCTTGACATTCAAATGATAAAAATAAATATAGCATCATTGCTATGTTATGTTATAATTTATGACATACATTGTTAACTTATTGCTATCTTTGGAGAAATCGTCGTAACACCATATTTAGGCCAGTATAAGTGTATAACGATTGAGGGGATCAATGCGAAACTTTACATACACGGTTGTGACCTTATGTACTACATGATGGCATGTGATGGTAAACCAAATAGTGTTAGATGATTGCGATATTCATGAACAAAGTAAGCTATATTTTTCAAAAATGGAATGTTTGATGCTCCGATTCTTGCCCACTATTGTCCCAACTTAGTGAACTCTTATCAACTTCCATAGACACCATCGAGATCTACTTGCACGCGAAAGTTTATGGCT